TTGACGTATTCACTTGAGTGTTTCATGTACACCACTAGCGAAGACACCTGACAGGGTCAGAGGTCAGGACTGAACAAACAGAGGCGTCCCTCTGGACCTCACCTTGGTTATGAAAGGGGATGTAGAATCAGGTCAGTTTGCAGTCCTAGCACATTTGCTTCAGGACCTTCAAACACTACCCTGTTAATCTGGTACATCATAAACCAATCCATTGTTAGAGTTCATCATCAACTAATTTCCACTGGACAATGTCCTCTTTTCACACAAGCCACTAATTACAGCATAAACACTGCTAATGGCTGCAGTAGAATATGTCTGCCTCTACCGGCTAGATGGACAATCTTCATTTACACTTTATTTGCAGAAAATGCATAGTGTGAACTAGGAATTCAGATACAATGAAAATTTATATACCAAAATACAGTTATTTCGGACAAAATGTGAAACAGTGGTTATCGGACGCTCATTGATATTGAACATGAAAGTAAAACAGTCAAATCCCAAAACTCTAGGTACGAAAAACCAGCCCTATACATAGCGATATATGGTATTTTCATTCAAGAATCAATTATCATCACAAGTGTCCCTACTGACAATGCAGTAATGACAGTCTTCAAATATCTAACATAACAAGCATCATAGATTCTCAATCTCCCACGATCTGTTAGAAGAGATAAATAGACATAATCAATCCTGTGTCAGTCATTAACAGTTAATTATCTTCACTTTCTCAGTCAGCAACTTTTCCTGCCAACATAAAATGTATGGAATATGCTCCTTTGCAACACTAATTCTTTCCATGTCTGTCATGCTTTTCTGATTCTTAGAACTTCCTATGTTTAAGACCGCCTCCGTGGTGTAGTGGTTAGAGCGTCCACCCGTCCACCCGGAGAGCTCGGCTCGGAGTCAGTATAATGTGTCTGAGTGGGTATTCATGCTTCACCGCGGCGTGGTATCTCAGTGGGCTAGCACTATAAAACCAGCTTCAGTCTGGGCTAGTACAAGCAGCCACACATACACATACACACGCATGCAGGTCGTCATATGAGCAAAATATTCTCAAGCACGACGTTAAACCCAATTTCACCTCACCTCCTATGTTTAAATCAACAATTTTTAATCTATTATCTATATTAATAATTATAATAATTATGATTAACTAAATTAATAACTAGATGCAGCCTAATCTTGTACATATGAACTACTCAAAAACTACTTAAAGAAAATAACATAACCAATAGTCATAGATGTTCTTTAAATTCTTTCAAGTATTATATATGAAATTTTTAACTATGCATGCAAGTATTCAGACAATTCTTGGACCCACTATACATTCACAAGTTATCATTTGATTTTAGTTTTTTGGGGTACTGAAGATAATTTTACACCCTTGAATCCAGAGTTTTTAACCAGTGAGTACATATTTTCAAATAATGTTGACATGCTGTTTCAACTTGTCACAATCTGTACCAAAAGTGGAACTGTAGTGATATTGTCATGTTTGTTTGTTGGTTTACGCCGCACTCTGCAATATTTCAGCTATATGGCACTGGTCAGTAAATAATCACATCTGGACCAGACAATCCAGTGATCAACAGCAGAAGCACACAATTGGGATATGACTGACTGACTATGGTTTTATGCTGCTTTTAGCAATATTCCAGCAACATCACGGCAGGGGACACCAGAAATGGGCTTCACACATTGTACCCATGTGGGGATTCGAACCCGGGTCTTCGGCGTGACGAGCCAACGCTTTAACCATTAGGCTATCCCACTGCCCCAATTGGGATATGAAGACGTCAGTGAGCCAGACCTCCCGATCCAGTTCGTCCCCTCTTACAACAAGCATATGTTGCTGCAGATCACTTCTAACTCCGACCTTCATGGCTTCAGGCATAGTGCCTTGTTACTACTTAATCCCTGAGAATGTACTAGAAGTTCATGTATGAGTGATGTTTAATTCAATTGACGTCTCTCTGTACAAAAGACTAAGTACGATGTTTTTGGGAATTAGTTGGAAATCTCCTCACAAGTGCTTTTTGATGATTGCTTCATTACAAATGAACAATCATCGACAGATCTGTAAAAAAATTGGTTAGTGTCCTTTTTCAGTTTTTCCTATCCAGGTTGTTATTGCAGATATGTATAACATGATGCAACGTGATACTCTAAAGTGATGACTTTTATATCATGAACATAAACTTCCTGGAGTCTTCAAGAAATATGCAGTCATGACTTTTCAGTTAGTGAAGTGAGTTTTCTAAGAATCAAACAAGTTTTCAGGTCCTGACAGCTTCTATGATATGTTCCATCGTCAAGTGTTTCAAAGACTAAAGCAACAGTTCCAAAATCGTTTGTGCTCGATTATGAGAAAATGTGATCGATTGCTTGGTCGTTTGGTCACGTCGACCAATCTTCGATTATTTCAATTAATCGGAACACCACTACTATATATCCACGCTGTTCAATTCAAGTCAAATGCCAGATGAAGAGGATAAAGAGCATACATTGGGTCTTGTTAAACTAATGTGTTTCATTTTTCCATCATTTTTCTACAGAGTCAACTAAATGGGGTAATGGTGAAAGATTTTGTGTATTTTAATTATGAAAACAAGCAGCTTATGGAGCTCTGCATGATTGCACTTTGATCCAAATTGTTGACTGAATGCTAATCTCTGTTATACGATATGTGCATAGTATTTGATTTCTGTACTGCATGAGACAATGACAAGTGAAATATACAGAATAGAATTACAGAAGTTATCAGACATGCACAAACAAACACACTCTTGCTTGATACCGTTATAAGAATCTATACCATAATGTTCATGGGCGATTCCAGGAATTTTGAGGGGAGGGGGAGGGAGTTATAACCCTGAACCCCCTTGGCTCTGCCAACGCAAAAAAAACATTTTCAATGTGGTCTTAAGTCATTTTCAGGGGGATTCTAGATAAATATATTAAAATCAGATCTTTAATACTTTGATACAGTACTTCTCTGAAGACACTTCTAGTTTAATCGAAGAATGCGTGGGTTCTTGAGCCAAGGAACTGTCAGCCCTTTACAATGTTTTAATAAAGATTTTATCACCTTCATTCAGATATTATGATCTGAGTGTATGAAAAACCAATATTAAAATATAAATTCTGTGGTATTCCTGTTTGGTTTTAGATTTCATGAAGATCAGAAACAAATGTATGAGTGAGTGAGTTAAGTTTAGCAATATTCCAGTAATATCAGTTGGGGACTCCAGAAATGAGCTTCACACATTGTACCCCTGTGGGAATCGAACCCGGGTCTTCAGCGTGACAGGCAAATGCTTTAACCACTGGGCTACCCCACTAACCGAACAAATGTATGAAATAACTACAGCACATAATGGTGTATACTTTTTACTTTCGGCACTAGGTAATTTAGTTAAGCGCTTCACACTGATTGGCTGCCTAGTGCTTCACACTGATTGGCTGCCTAGTGCTGCACACTGATTGGCTGCCTAGTGCTGCACACTGATTGGAGGCTTAGCAAATCACCTTAAACTGTCACCAGCAACCTATGTCTGCTTTGTAACCATTAATGGTCAAGTATTGTGATCTGATGAATAGCCAGCGTGGATCATTGATCTCAAAATCAATCAATGGATGTGTTGGTGCAGGATCAATACTGAGAGAGTATGTTACAGTCGTACAACTGGAACACTGCAGAGTGCCATTCAACACATCATTTATAGGTCACTGATCTATTAATATAACAGACTTCCATATCTTTTTATCAACATTCAAACGCTGATTGTATTATCTATCTTAACCTTTTATGGTTAAAAGATAGGTACAAACTGGTCAGTGATTGGGGCAAGACAGGTATAAACTGTTCAGTGATCAGGGCAAATATGAAAGGTATAAACTGTTCAGAGATCAGGGCAAGATTGGTATAAGCTGGTCAGAGATCAGGGCAAGATTGGTATAAACTGTTCAGAGATCAGGGCAAAATGATAGGTATAAACTGGTCAGAGATCAGGGCAAGATTGGTATAAGCTCGTCAGAGATCAGGCAAGATTGGTATAAGCTGGTCAGAAATCAGGGCCTGTTCTTGTCATGTTCATATACAACAAAGTATGTTTATAACGAACACAGTGATGACATCGAACAGGGTTATATTTTTGTCCCCTCAGTGGCAGTATATTTTAGATGAAATGCATGTTATGAACTCCTGTTATGACCAACTGAAGTAAGCTTGTTATAACCATAGTTAACTGTATTTGTAACTGAAACAATTGCTGACCAATCTTTTTCAATTTCATGTACTGTTTTTCATTGAGATATAATAACACTGAGTGTATATATCGAAATATTCACTAATAAAATGTGATACGACTTTGCAACAATGAAACCAAAAGCAACATAGTAGCATCTTTGAATGTCATTTAGAAGTGATACACATGAAAGGTGAAAATTTATGGATGTCAGTTTCTTTAGTACCAGGAACATGATGTTTTGGAGAATATATTTTTACTCACTTTTCACACATGTTCAAGAATGTTTTAAAAATTATTTCTATTAAGGTACAGGTAAACATTTCGATGTTTGTTCATATGTCATGAATTTGAATTCATTTTGAGGAAAACAGAGAAAAACGCTACCCCCAAAGCTGGGAGAATAATCAGAATAAAAGTCTTTGAACGGCATTTAGAAGTGATGCACGTGTGAAGTCGAGAATTTATGGATGTCAACAACTTTATTTTGAGGAACACGACGTTTTTTGATCAAGGAATAAAAATATACTTTAAACGTCGTGTTTCTCAAAATAAGGACGTTGACATCCATAAATTCTCTCTTCTATGTGCATCATTCACCTGATGGAGGCGTAAGAATCAACTCCGAAACGTGTTTCTCAAAACAAAGAAGTTGACACCCATAAATTGTCGCCTTTCAACATAGTAACGCTTAATGAAATAAAGACGTACCAATGTTAAACATAATATTAAAGTTATTTAGCTTACCTGGTACTTCCAAACGCCACAACAAGCAATGCTATCATAAACCCATGTCCAACAGCGACCGCGGAGGCCGAGGTCAACGCGGGGCTACCTTTGCTATTCAGACCGAGGGGATCTTGAACCGTCATGCACCCAACGAACACAAACAGACACACCCCTAAGAATTCGGCCATGCAAGGCTGCAGTATTTTCTGAAAAGGTCGCAATGGAGCTTCATCACCCCTGTTGATGAGGGAATCGCTTTCTTTCGACATGATGCTGTTTGAGTTGGTGTGCTGTGAAGAATAGATCTCGTCGACTGTCCCAGTGAACGGCAGTACCGACTGATATAGTGTCCAATGTCACTCGAGCCTAAACATCAGCACGTGGTGAGCTCGCGTGGAGGAGGTCACGTGATAGGTTTGTTATATAAGCTTCACTGATCATACAAACAGGTGCTGTGCGTGTGATATGTGGTTTCATTACTTGTGTGTAAACAAGCGCACAAATCGCCCCGATGCGTGCAGACATGAGAAATTAATACTTTCATCAATTCATTTTGTATTCCTACTTTTGCGTTTCTCTATTTTGCATGGGCTGTGTTAGTTCATATCATGTACTGTGTGTACTGCTCTGACAAGTGTAAATGGGCACTTCTCCCATGGAGCGAAAGCTTAGAAAACTTGTATTTCCTTTCAGAAAGAGTTAATGGATGTTATCTTGGTGTGGGGTGGGGATGATGATTTAAAAGGGGGTGGGGTGGTGTTACCCATTTTGTTCTGGGAAGGTAGTGGGTCCTCAATTTTGTACGCATGAACGGGAGAGTGTGTGTGGTGTGTGTGTGTGGGTGGGGGTGTTGTACGTTGACATTAAAAAATATGCTTAAAAATTATGGGAAGGGGCATTGATTTTGTACATGACATGGGGGGGGGCACTTACTTTGTACATAAATTGTACAGGGGGATATCATTCACATTGTATATAATATTATCATCATTAACCCCCCTAGCCTTAAATTATGAACGGTCTCTTAGGATTACATTTCCTCAGTAGAGTACAAGCAGAGATCATTCTGGTACAAGTGAACTGGGTTTTTTTAGATCAAAACTTTAAAAAACGAATTATCTGTTCAAAGATAATGTGATCCCGAATATAATATACAAATGTAAGTAAAATCTGACCACGTTTTGAAAAGCTTTGCGCATTCATGTTATATGTAATGTTTTAATATAAATTAAGCCTGTTGTTTTTCGTGAATCAGCACTTTGAACGAGCGAGCGATGACAACAAAATAACAACTGAGTTTTCTATGCAGTGTCTTATGCCATACGACCTAAGAAGCAGTTTAGATTTGATTCTAGATGTATCATCTCTTTCCAGAACATAGTTTCTAAAATTGAAATGACATGGGTTTTTTAGATTTTTTAAAGAAATGGCCTAGTCATGTTCAGTGACGCTCGTATCACTCATCTCTGTCTCGACATAATGGCTGCCGCCTTGATAACTGTAGGTTTGTTGACGCAACAGTGTCAACTATCTACATCTTGCCTGATCCCGATGATAAAGATGCATTTTGAAGGATGTGATTCAGCAATTATAGATCTGCATGTTAGCCTTTCCCAAGAGCATTTGAGTTCATGAACTCGCCATTTAAAATGAAATATGTGTAAACTGTATGCATGTATTTAAGAGTGAGTGAGTGAATGTAGTTTTACGCCGCTTTATTTAAATGAAATATGTGTAAACTGCATGCATGTATTTAAGAGTGAGTGAGTGAATGTAGTTTTACGCCGCTTCTAGCAATATTCCATCAACATCACGACAAGGCATATGTAACACTGATTCTGAACTACTGCCAGAGTCAACTCTGACCACAGTGGTTCGAATCACTGTTTGGAAAATAATTTTTGAAAATACAAATCTAGACTTTTGCAACCATACATTATTTTTACATGTTATGATTAACATACATTTCAAATTTGAACGAAATCGGCGAAGAAATGAATATTTTAGAAAAATATACCTCTACACTCGTTACATAAAATACACAAGGGGTGACACTCGCGATGCTAAAAACCTGATCGAAAACCGGACAGCCCGAATATTTTAACGTTCAATCAAACCTTACGTTTTTAACCAAATATTGTGCTGAGCTTGTAGGTAATTATTTTACCTTTCTGGTCATTCAATTTGTCTAACTGCATTTCTTTCTTGACCACTGACCCTCTGCTTTGAACAAAGGTCTGGCCTCTCTTCGGTAAACATCGACAGCTTCCGTAAATCCTTTACTGTACGATATTTATTCAGTTTCGAGACACGAAAATCGTCATACATGGGCGAAATGTAAACAATAACAAAGACCCCATTTTCGACACCGACATGTCCGGTGATATTTCGTGTCAGCTCGCTATTGTCTCGAAATCGTACACATAAAACATGAACGATCGAATATAGAGCTTTAGCATCTTTGGTTTAGCAAATTTGATGGCGTATAATTCGATGATCTGGTCCCATTTTTCTCTGTTGTATGCTGTAAATAAACTGAACGACCAGTAATAGTAACTAGATTTTTTTTTCTTCTAATCTCCACCCCCCCATTGTTTTTATTCCCAGAATTATGTTTACAGACTTTACCTCAGTAGTACAGTACAGGCAGCTTCTTAGTATGCAAGTACAGTGTTTCTTTGATCTCATTGTCAAATAACATGCTGTTCACAAATATGTAAAAACGGTCAAAAACTAAGCATGTATATGAAGTGTTACATGTTTACAGATTTTACCTCGGTAGTACACAGTACAGTACAAATAGTTTCATTGTACACAAGTACAGTGTTTCCTGTACTTGGTCAAACTAAGCATGTATATGAAGTGTTACATGTTTACAGATTTTACCTCAGTAGTACAGTACAGTACAGGTAGCCTCCTAGTACACAAGTACAGTGTTTCTAGTGACTAGAAAAAGTGTTGTTTACCACATTATATAATTAATAATAAATAGATCTATAATAATAATAAATAAACTGAACGACCAGTAATAGTAACTAGAAAATGGTTGTTTACCACATTATATAATTAATAATAAATAGATCTAATACATTTGAAACATATAACTGATTAATTGATTATTCAACCATGTACTTTTACAATGTACAATGTATGTGATTTAAAAAAATGTAATAATGATAAAGAAGAATATATTTATTATTTTTATTAATTTGGCATGTATCATTTCAATATAATATCCATATTAATTCTTCCATTTTGCATGGGGTTGATCATAGGCATTGGTCTTAAAAAGTATAACTATAGTCGTGGTACGGCAACATCTGCGTAATGCTACCGAGAGGTTGATTACACATTGGACCATCTGCGTGTTGTCTACTGGATATGGAAAATCACATGACTATGATATATATATGTATATAAAACTGAATGTACCCCATTCCCCACCCCACTCCAACCCCAGATACAGCTACAGTTATTTTTGTTGTAGGAAAAAGCGACACATTATGAAATATTAATAGAAGGAACCAGTTAACTGTTGACAGAACTACACCATGATTGTTGTAGGTTGTCATATAATCATGGTTTAAAAAGGTGAATAAATATCTTCACATTTCCCACATTTTGTGTTGACCACATATATTCAAATCAAAGTCTAAACAGAATATTTTTAGTATTAGCAGTCCATGTGGTACAGCCAGAATCATCCATTAGGTAGCATTGGCATTGTGTTCATTCAAATACAGTAGCCTGCGCCAATACTTAACAGCCCTTGTGGTATTGACACGTTGGGGCTGGTCTCTGGCACATTCTCCCCAAACCATAGCATTGTGTGTTGCTTAACATATTTTGAGAAAACATTTACACATTTTATGCTGTACATATAAATATCTTAAATAAATCTTGACATAAGCTATATCCAACTTTCTTTTAATACCTGTACAATGTCATAATGCCTTTTTATTTTGTTCACCAAGATTAGTTAGTGCTTTAGTCCAAATAAGTTTAGGTGTTAACACAATACCAAATATCTGTAAAAAGACACAATTTCGAGATACACACCATAAGATTTTAATTCAATAGTGAACTTGTCAACAAATTCCGAGCATATTCTCCAAAATTCGAAGCAAACGGACTGGTTGTGTGTTGAACTATGTATGTATGCACTATGCACTGATGTATAGTGTGAAAAAGTAAAGCAAAAATTGCAGCATTTAATCAAACTTGTTTACTGCTGTCTGGCTGAATAATTGCTGATATCAAATTATATGATTATTGACATGTATCAGATCTATTCTAATATGCTCAAAATGATCAATACATGCCTATAGCAAATGTATACCCTGAAACAGGCTTCAAGTCATAAAAACTACAGTACTCAGGACAGGTTTCATTAATAAAAAAAACAAATAGAGGAATGTACATCAGTCTAAAAAGTTCATCTTCAAATATATGTACTTTTAAGGCAATGTCTGTATTTTTATGGTAATGTAATAACATACTGATCATACTGTGTATTATTATATATTTGTTGTAATCAGGGGGGTATAGAGGAATATGCAATAGTCCGCAAAAACTTTCCTAGGGGTATTTTTAGATCAGGTACATAGCAACCGAAAGAGAATATGACATCATGGAATATGGATAGATCAACTGGTTTAATCCGGTCTGGTATGAAAATATATAAATCCCTTTATTTCGGATGATGCATCACTTCATCCCTGACTACACAGACGACATCCAGCTCTCTCTCTCTCTCTCTCTCTCTCTCTCTCTCTCTCTCTCTCTCTCTCTCTCTCTCTCTCTCTCTCTCTCTCTCTCTCTCTCTCTCTCTCTCTCTCTCTCTCTCTCTCTCTCTCTCTCTCTCTCTCTCTCTCTCCCTCTCCCTGATGCAGTTTAAAGTCCTAACGTGCTTAATGAAGGCTGATATTATTGAAAATGCATGATCCGAAATGAAGGGGTTTATATATTTTCATTCCCAAACCGGATTAAACCAGTTGATCTATCCGTATTCCATGATGTCATTCTCTTTCGGTTGCTATGCACCTGGGCCCCTATTCTCGAAAGTGTCCCAGCTAAGACAGATCCTAAGTAGTTAAGACAGAAGTTAGGACATCCTACTGTTAGGATAAGACCCATTCTCGAAACGATCCTATCCCTGTCCTAACTTGTGCTACCTATCCTAGCAAGGATAGCGAGCTCTTCAGTAGGTGAGAAAGAAAAACCCTCATTAAGTTGGGGATTCCCCTAATTATTACCTATGATTCATTTCATAAAAAACACATAATATGAGCAAATTCAGCATTTGATGGACTGAGTAGATCTAGAAGAAATTATTCGATATTTTCATCACATTATATAGTAGTTTTGAAGTCTTTGAAA